CTATGGAATGGTCAACAAGCGCTACTCTTCACACCGCATGAGAATATTACTATCGACGAGCAGCTTGTTTCATTGCCGTCGGACGGTACCAATACATGAGGTTTTGGAATGGTCCTTTTTGAGCCCTACCGGAACCGGTTCTGGGTATACGGATGTAGCCATATTCACCTTTTGGTCCATGACATGATGTCTATTTACTTCTGGATGAAAAATCATAAATTTTGAGCCGTCGGACGATACCAGTACATGTGATTTAGGAATTGTCCTTTTTGGGGTCCTGCCGGAACCGGTTCTGGGTATCTGAATGTGGCCAGAGTCACCTTTTGGTTAATGGTATGATGTCTATTTACTTCTGGATGAAAAATCGTACATTTTGAGCCGTCGGACGGTACCAGTACATGAGGTTTTTGAATTGTCCTCTTTGAGCCCTACCAGAACCGATTCTGGGTATCCGGATGTGGCCATATTCACCTTTTGGCCCATGACATGATGTCTTTTTACTTCTGGATGAAAAATCATAAATTTTGAGCCGTCGGACCTTTACCAGTACATGAGGTTTTGGAATTGTCCTTTTTGGGGTCCTGCCGGAACCGGTTCTGGGTATCCGAATGTTGCCAGAGTCACCTTTTGGTTAATGGTATGATGTCTATTTACTTCTGGATGAAAAATCATAAATTTTGAGCCGTCGGACGGTACCAGTACATGAGGTTTTTGAATTGTCCTTTTTGAGCCCTACCGGAACTGGTTCTGGGTATCCGGATGTAGCCATATTCACTTTTTGGTCCATGACATGATGTTTATTTACTTCTGGATGAAAAATCATAAATTTTGAGCTGTCGGACGATACCAGTACATGTGATTTAGGAATTGTCCTTTTTGGGGCCCTGCCGGAACCGGTTCTGGGTATCCAGATGTGGCCAGATCCACCTTTTGGTCCATGGAATGATGTCTATTTACTTCTGGATGAAACATCATACATTTTGAACTGTCGGACGATACCAGTACATGAGGTTTAGGAAAAGTCCTCTTTGAGCCCTACCAGAACCGATTCTGGGTATCCGGATGTGGCCATATTCACCTTTTGGTCCATGACATGATGTCTATTTAATTCTGGATGAAAAATCATAAATTTTGAGCCGTCGGACGGTACCAGTACATGAGGTTTTGGAATTGTCCTTTTTGGGGCCCTGCCGGAACCGGTTCTAGGTATCCGAATGTTGCCAGATTCACCTTTTGGTTCATGGTATGATGTCTAGTTGCTTCTGGATGAAAAATCATAAATTTTGAGCCGTCGGACGGTACCAGTACATGAGGTTTCTGGAAATGTCCTTTTGTGCTATCAGAACCGGTGCCAGGTAGCCTAAATGGCCAAATTGGAGAAATCCTGGGAAGGATACCATTCTATAACCCTTTATCTTTCATTCGAGGCCAATAAATCAAGAATCGGTTAAAAAATGGGTTTTTGGGAGTGAATTTCAGTCTGGGTCTTTTTTGACCCTAATGCACAATGTGTCACTTTTTTTGTAGCGTCACTCCCAGAGGTCGCTAAGAGCATCTTTTGACATCAAAATGTTTGTTTCCGAAAATTAGGGAAAGTCAGGAAATTTCAGGTCTCTATCATATTTCGTTACAAAATTACAGCTTTTTTAAAGTGACGCCGGGTCAAAAAAGACCCTAATGCACTAGGAAGGTTAAACAAAAAATTAAATATTTCTGTCAAAGATGACTTTTAAATTTATTCACCTTTCCATACGTACCATTAGATTTGATAAAGAGTCACACATTGTTGAGATATTGTTTGAAATCTAATACTACTTCTTGATTCTAAATTCGTTCTACGAGTTTCAATTCCGTCCAAAATATGGTATGATGACATGTTTTACTTGTAACTTACAAGAAGAGGTTACACAGTATGCGTTTGAAACATAAAACCTGTAAATTTTGCTTTCTATGAGTCACAATAAGCGATTTTCTGATCGCTGAGTGAGTGAGTGAGTGAGTGAGTGAGTGAGTGTGTGAAAAATCGCTGATTGTGACTCTCATGAAGTGAAATAAACAGGTTTAATATATCAAACACATTCTTTGCAACCTCTTCTTGTATCTTACCTATTCAAAATATAATCATGGCATCTAATTATTTCATTTTCCGGTCACAACTCCCATTTTATTCTTATGAGACATCTATGACTGATTTCGAAAAATCAGAAGAGTTCTAGAATCAGTTTCATGAGTTTACCTCTTTAAGCCCCAGCAGGCCTGGGTTCAATCCCAGTCTGCGCCGTCGGGATGTTCTGAGGCATAACATCTCTGATCACGCCTTCCTTCCGAAGAGAAGTAAAGCCGTTGATTACCGGCTCATGAGTTGATGGGTCTATAGGTAGGGTCCAGGTGTGGGAGCTGCTTCCCTGACGTCGGTAGCATTGGTGCTCAGCACGGAAAACAAGATCGACGGAAAACAAATCAAGGAAAAAAATATACATCTTTAAGGGATGATTTGGATCTTCTGGAGGGCCAAATCATGGACCCAAGGGTCAATTTTTCGATCACAGATCCTCTTTCATATTAATGAATGGTTAAAAAAAAAAATCGTGGAGCTCTAGGATCAGTTTCGTAAATTGACTACTCTTACGAATGTTCCAGATTTTGCGGTGAACCATCGCGGTTGTCTATTTTCCGGTTTCAACTTCGAATTCATTCTGATAAGACGTCTATGACTGGTTTCGAAAAATACGCGGAGCTTTAAGATCAGTTTCATGCATTGACCACTTTCACGGATGTTTCGGATCTTCTAATGGACCATCCCGTAGTCCTCAGTGTCCATAATCCGGTCACAACCCCGAATCCATTCTGATAAGCTATTGACGAGTAATTACAAAAAAATAATACGTGGAGCACGAGGATCAGTTTAATTAAGTGACCACTTTCAAGGACGTGTCGAATCTTCTAGAGGACAATCCCGTAGTCCAAAGCGTTCTTATTCCGATCACAACCTCGGATTCATTCTGGTAAGACGTAAGACTGGTAAGACGTGAGTGGCTTCGAAAAAAAAACGAGGAGCTCTAGAATAAGTTTAATGAATTGATCACTTTTACTGTTGTTCCGGATCTACCGGTGAACCATCCCGTAGTTCCCAGGGTTCATATTTCGGTCACAATTCCGAATTAATTCTGATAAGACGTCTTTGAGTGGTTTATAAGAAACCACGGAGCTATAGGATCAGATTATTTAATTTTACAGTTCTACGGATGTTCAGGATCTTTCGGTCGATCATTACGTAGTCCCCAGGGTGCATATTTCGATCACAAATACGAATTCATTCTGATAAAATGTTAATGAATAGTTTTGAAAAATACATGGAGCTCTGCTGTGCTACCTGACTTAACACGAATATATCTAGACCAACAATTGAAATAGGCGGAACAACCAAACGTAATGACTTTAAACACAATATTCTCGAGAATCAAAACACTCCCACGCAAATTAACAATGCCATTCGATAAAGGAAGTTTAGTATATAAGATGATAGGGTTAGATTGCTTGAATATGCTTTGATTCTCAAGGAATTTCCGTTTAAAGACATTGTTTACGTTTGGTTGCTCCGCCTATTTCAATTGTTGGTCTAGATACGTTGTATACAAGTACCCCGAATATAACGTATGACTCGTCTAATTTTGCATAACATTTGTAATGTAAAATTAGACGAACTATACGTTGTATTCAGGGCATGTATATATAGAGGTACCAGACATGTTTAGCAATGCAGTGTCCTCTGTGAACAATTATAGGAAAACAGATTGTGTCTAGTTTCCGATAGATGTCACCGCAAACAACAGCAGTGACATCTGATGGAACATGAATGCAGAAGCTTTACAAAATGATTAATTGAGAAAATGAAGCGAGTTGGAAATTTCCGTTTTTACGTCCATATATACACCCCGTACACCTGTGTACCTGTCGGGACACAATTCCGCAGGGAATTTTTTCGAAATGCCCACTTCACATCACCGTATTTTCTCAGCACCAACGTTAGTTCGCAATCCGGGATCTCTGGTGGTAGATCAAAAAGAACAAGTGGAGGTATTAGAATACAATTTGAGGTACTACAATAGAGGTAACTCTAAGACCAGAAGGTCCCGAAGAAACGTGCCCAACTTTTTGGCTCAGCTCTGGTACTCTCTTCGATCCCAAGCTAATCGATGCACCCCTCGAAACATAAGAAAATCTACGAATTCTTCATTTTATCTGTCAAACTTTCATAGCGAATCAAAACAAACATAATGTAGTACTAGAATTTCGACTAGAATGGGGTACGTTAATCGATGCTTGGGACCAATAGGCTACTCAAGTAGTGAGCCAATTTTAAATCGTTTGTTTCCACCGGTTGGTACTACTGTACTTTGTATGTCTGTACAAGGTCTAAAAGCACAACACCACTGGGCAAAAAAGAAAAGAAAAAGAGGAACGGTGATGACTCACTACAATCTTCCATCCGTGATGATTAAATGTATCGAGCAAATCAATTAGCGTCGTGGTCATCATCTATTCAACAAAATGAAATAATTCAAAAAGAGCCTCCTTAACATTTGCCCATGCACATCAAGTGTACTATACATATTTTGATGCGAGCACAGGATCAAGTCGAGTGCAGTCAAGTGGCGAGTAAATAACTAACACGTGACCGACAATGACACTTTGTGCATGAATGATTTGCATACACCATAAACATAAATCGAAAACAGCTTCCATGCATGCTAGGGTGGAAGCAACAGCTGCTGGTGAGGCAGCAACACTTTAATTTGATTGATAGTATTATAGCATACGTGGGATTACGTAAGCGCCTCTTGTAGCGCAAGTGTGATGATTACTCGCCTAATGCGATAGTTTCTTCAAACGATTGAAGTCAAATGGGAGCAATGATCCGTCGCTCCATATGCTCTGACTGTTTGCTTGGCCCCCAATAAATTCTAATCGAGTGCTAAACTTATATTTTTTCGGTGTAGAACAAACCAGTCTTCACCCTGTACGATGGAATTCTCAACACTTACGAAACCTACATCGGTCGGGTAACGCTGTTAAATGACGATCTGGTATACGGGAAGGCATCGCTGAACCTGACTTCGATACGGGAAAGCGACAATGGGTGGTATGAGTGCAAGGTCATCTTTCCGAACAGGGTGCCGAATAAGCGGAACAACGGAACCTGGTTCCACATTTCGGTTTTGGGTAAGATCTTAGAAGGACTCGCTGGGAGATATTGTCTGGAATAACACAGATTTGTTCAACTCACAGGTGGTACGTTACTGAAGATTCCACCGGTCAATCAAACGATTTTGGAAGGTGATCCGGCCTTCTTTCACTGCCTGGCTCAGAATCCAGAGACGATGTTCGTCGAATGGTACAAGGATAACGTACCACTGCTGGAGATGTTCGATTTAATACACAGATCGACCTTTGGACCGGATGGAAGCCTAACGATCAATCCAACTCAGATGAGTGATTTAGGATACTACACATGCGAAGTTCGGAATCTGATGAACGACACCCAGAATGCGAGTGCTTTCCTGAATGTTCAATGTGAGTTTAATAAAATATTGATTGATTCACATTTTGATGTTTCCACGCAATTATAGATAAGGCAAAGGTCATATACGCACCTAAAGAAGTCTACCTGCCGTTTGGAGACCCGGCCGTTCTGGATTGCCATTTCCGATCGAATCCTCCGTTGACAAATCTACGGTGGGAGAAGGATGGTTTCCTATTTGATCCCTATAATGTCCAGGTGAGTGAAATTATTCAGTCTTATGTTTTCTAAATCGTTCTAGTGATAATTTATCACCACAGGGCGTATTCTACAAGCGAAACGGAAGCATCTACTTTGAGAAAGTTGACGATTCGCATGCGGGACGCTATTCTTGTACTCCGTATAATGATCTCGGTACCGATGGAGCATCCCCAATGATCCACGTGATTGTACAGAAGCCTCCTAGTTTCATTCTGAAACCGAAGCTACTCTACGTGACTAAGATGGGAGGAACAGTGGAAATGCACTGCGATGCGCGAGATCGAGACGGAACACATACACCGCAGATCACTTGGGTTAAGGTATCGGTGCTGACTTGTTTCTACGCGTACACTTTCTTAAGCTAACACTGTTTCAACTTTCAGAAAGACGGAAGCCTACTCCCTCACGGGAGATATCAGTTGAATGGTGCAAATCTAACCATTGAAGAAATCGTGGAGTCCGATCGAGGAATCTACGCATGTCAGGCGACGAACGAAGCAGCGACCATCTCGGCTGACGCGGAAATCATGATCGAAAACGTGTCTCCTAGAGCTCCGTACAACTTGACAGGTAACAGTTCAGATACGGCAATCACTCTGCGCTGGGCTCCTGGCTATATTCGTCAATATCTGGAATACATCATCTGGTATCGACTGGCGGAAGCTCCCGAATGGAGGACGTTCAAAGTGAACAACAAGCATATCCTGGAGGCTACCATCACCAATCTGCTACCAGCCAAGGAGTACGAGTTCATGGTGCTCTGTCAGGATAGTTACGGCGATGGGATGTTCAGTAAAGCTTTCAGATACTTTACAAAGCGTAAGTAGTCTACGAACCTGCTCAGTGCTTTTCCAACTGCAATCCATTCTAAACTTCCAGCAAAGGAATTTGAGCAACCGGAAACGTTCCAGGACACGCTGCTACAGTTCAACCAAATTGGATCGCCAATCAACTTGACCATCGACAAGCGGCACAGCAACTACGAGGCCCGTTGGAAGCCTCCGGAGTTGGGACTGGATCAACTACGCTACTACATCCTTCGCTGGTGGGTGGAACCGCAGCACAAACTGCACGGAAGTCGTACGACTCCCGAGACGAGCTATATTCGTAAGTACTTCGCTTCGGACTGAAATCCACTGTGACACTAATGGCACTTTCGCACTTGCAGTTGAGGAGCTGGACGAGGACGAACTGTACACGTTCCAGGTGTTTGCCATGTCCACCACGAACTACACCAGCGGTAGCAACGAGGTTGAAATCTACGTGCACCCGTATCAGAAGGTTAAAGTGATGACCATCGGAGGGGTGGTGTTGCTGCTCATCTGCCTGGCCGTGATAAGTATGCTGTTGTTCGTGAAACGAAATCGGATCAAAAAGCTCCGAGAGGCGGAGAATGTGAAGATTTAATACACAGCGGCAGCACGGCAGACCAGCGAAAGGGTTGATGTCGATGCGATTCCATATTATCATAAGAATGCATAGAGTATTATAGATTATCGTGCAAGCAAAACCATTCGTTCATAGGTTAGAAGAAGAAAGTGTCTGATTTACAGGTTAAGTCGATTTAATGTAGTGTTCTGCTTAATAAAGAGTTGCAATATTAGATAACCGGAGGTCGTTGCAAAAGGTGCATATGATGGATTGCTTTCATTTCAAAATCCGTATGATTGTCTGTTGGGGTCTTCAGATTTTATGCCAGAGGTGGTGGCTTCGATGAAATAACATTGGAAGCATGCTTGGCATGCACAGTTGTACACACCAACTGCTCATTTGTTAATAACTTTTCACTCATTTGTTGAAATTTGTTTTTCTTTCAAGTAATTGATAGATTAGGATCATAGCTTACTGTAGGTATGCAAAGAGTAGGTAAATCTTAACATTTGAACCAACACCAATGAATTTTTAGACTTAAAGTCCGAAATGTGCTGCGAGCATTTCTCACTTGATCTTCACAACGCAAAAACAAATAAAGTTTATTACTAGAATTAAAATCTACTTTTTCTTACGTACCTATAACAAGCCTAAACTTTATTCTACCTACTGCTTCAAACAGAACTATGTTTTGTCAACTGTGAGCAAAGTTATTAGCAAATGAGCAGTTCGTGAAGAGAACTGTGTATGTGTTAATGGCTAGCCAGATGGCTAGTTTAAAGGGATTCTCCTAACCTCTGGTCTAGGCACGGAGATCGTCTGGGGTGTACTACACTCGCCTCTTTGTTCGCTAGCTCGAGCTTGAAACCCTAGAGCTTCAAGGTCGGCTCCTGGCTTGTCGATACCAATCAGACGTACAAAACACCTCTTTATCACTTTTAACTCGTTTATTACTTACGATTTCGGTGTCTATAGTGTGTTTGTGTGTGTAGTGCTGGCCAGCGATGACGGGACTGTTCACGGTGGATGTCAGTGCTCGACGGTTGTCACCGTGTGGCACGAGGGATGTTGCACTGGGGCTCGATCGTGTGATCGACGGTGGTCTTCCAGTGGTCGTCGGTGTATTACCGATGGACACTTGCTACACGGGGGCTACTTGATAACGGACGCCCTCGTGGTTTAGCCAGTAATTAACAGGTCCTGAGGGGAATATGAGAGGTGGTCTTAGAGCTGGGATTTCCGCTACCGGGTTATTAATTGGGTCCTACCTGACTCCGTATTCGGTGGTATTAGCCGGTATTTGTTAATAAATCTTCACTCCTGTTAATTTATATGAACTGTCTTGCGCAATGGCTGAAGTAGAAGAGAACCTTCTCTTCAGTTTGACCCAGTAGCTTCCCCCTTGATCTAAGCCCATTTCCACCTCCCTCCCACTTTTCCACCACCCCTTGTCCATATCCTTCTCCTGTTTCCAACGCCCACCTTCATACTTACTCCTTCCCGTTATGTGTTCTGTGTTATGTGTTGTTGGTGTGACTGGGTTACAATTTTTAATTGGACCGTTGGTTTGGGAGTACATATTTAATATTGCATACAAGAAACTGACATACAGATTGAATTCACAATGAATACACATATACCCTATTCTTCGCTCTCGCTATCTCCTGTTTTGTCTCGCTCGAAGTGAACCAATAGGGTACAGGAACCAAAACGGTAACATATGCCAAGCATGATTGGAAGTGCTCAAAGGATACTGAGTTGAATGAGTTATGAAGTCTACACATTTGGAGCTCAAGCTTTCAATTTTCATCTGGGAATCGATTTTATGAGATAGCACATCGTTTGACCATGTAGCACAAAACCGAAGTGGAACTTCGGCTCCACTTTTCATTGGCGAACACGTGCGCAAATAAGTGGCGCCGGTGGTGTAGTGTTAAGCGTGCTTACCACTCACCCCAGCAGGTCTGGCTTCAATCCCAGTCGTTGACGCCGGGATTTTCTGAGGCATAACATCTCTGATCACGCCTTCCTTCGGAAGGAAAGTAAAGCCGTTGGTCCCCGGTTCATGAATCCAGGTGTGGTAGCTGCCTCCCTGGCGTCGGTAACATTAGTGCTCAGCACGGAAAACAAGATCGACGAAAAACAAAATTTAATCAAGGAAAAATAGGCAGCATGCTATGATAGTGTGAGTGCGCATAGAAAGCCCGTGTGGAACGCTATCGCTACGCATCGGCAGAAAAACGTACCACTTTTTGATTAACGGATTTGTTTGCACTTCCCCTTCTATTCTATGCATGTAGAGTATTCGGAGTGGATTGAAGTCAGGAGAAACATTGAACTTCTGTTGGTTACAAATGATGTAATCGAAGATTCAGAGGAGAAGCCACCATGGGTCATTTGGGTGTTTTTAAAGGACCGTTTCTTCAATTATTTATGGTTTGTTCTATCAGTTCTGGGTGCACACTCAGGACTGCCCTTATCCAGTCTCAAAATAGAATAGAACCCCTTTTTTTGCTATCTCATAGGTAGGTACCTGCCCATAGAATGGAATTAAAAACTTTGACACACAACTTGTATGGTTGCTTGTCGAGTTGTAAAGTTGCGATAAAACAGATCCTAGTGGGACGAGGAATTTGAAATTTACCAGAAGTAGCAACAATTCTTTCCCAAGGACCTCACTTTTATGCATGCTACAAAGCTTGTAGCACTCACACACACATACACATGCTGAATACACTGGGCTTTGAAAGGAGCAGGAAATGAAGACAAACTTTCTTCCATTGAGAGCCGAACAATGCCATGCAATGCTTGGCTGACTGGTTGGTTTGGAAAGAGTATTGCAAATGAGAAAAAAAAATGTTTCAAGAAGCACCCGGAGACTCCGACGAGCGGCACCCAACTTTAGAATATGTTCCCTCCCCCACCTTCTGTGCATATATTTAGGATCAGCTCGTTTTGTGCATTTTTCCCGTATCCGGGTGCTATTTTCCAATTGATCCTGCCTTTCCCCCCATGCAGTGCAGTGCAACAAAGGAGAACAGGAGGTGAACCTTTCCTCCTTCCCTCAGAGGGGCTTGTATGTGCGGTAACTGCACAGTCGTGCTGTGCATAAATGAATACACACTAGTTTAAACTGGCATTATTTATTCCATGGCATTGTTCATTTGATTGTTCGACACCGGTCGGTGGGAGCCTTCTTACCTTCGATGGGTATGTGTTTGTTGTTGTAAAGAAGCAGCCATTTTCAAACCCCTGCTGTGGCTACAATTTTAATGCAAGAGTAAATTGGAGTAAAAGTGACCCTTGGGAAAGATTTGGTCAGGTGAGGAAGGTTCTATTATTTTCATTTTGCATTTTTTGTTTATTGCCAGCACATGCTGCAGAAGAATGCTATGGCCAACCAGAAATGCAATGGTATCGTCCGGTTGCATTGGTGCCGAGTGAGGAGTGACACCCAAAGTCAGCAAATAAAAATCTTAATTTTCAATTCGAAACGTGAAATTTGTGCTGATAACTTAAAAACTGTTGGCCATCATCATCGGCCTTCATTCACCCGTGGAATATATTGCGTACTTGGTGGCATCACAATTGGGTTTTGAATGCTGAGCTTCATTGTCGTTGTCATCAGAAGCCGATATCAACAGAATTTCTAGAACGTAAGTGGAGGTGGATAGCGTTGTCATGCCAGATTTTAATGCAGCATCTGTCATGTCGAGGCGGGGTAAAGAGAGGCAAATGCAGGCTGTTACTAGATTTTCAAAATTTGAACTGCGACATCCACGATATCTCAAAAGAAATCCGCTACTTCAAATACAGATCCGCGACAAATAAAAACTGTATTCATTGCTTAAAATACCATTTGTATTACTACTACATTGTATTTCAAATTAATAGCTTAGAGCATATAAGCTTTTTGATCTTTGTGATCTTTGCGATTTGATCTTGACTTATTGATCTTTGAAGCACTTCCACGGTCATAGAAAAATCATGAAAAATCGGTTTATAATTTAACTGTCTTAAGATTTTTCAAATGTTTGAAGAAAAAATAAAATGATAAAGCATTTATCTAGAACTTTCTTCAAAACCTCGGACTAACGAACTTTCAAGAGCACGGAGCTCTTGAATCTAAAAAATCTAAAATCAAGATTAAGTCCCAAATTTAAATTTAATTCTTATCGAATCCCGAGCAGGAGAATACAACTTATCAATACAAAATGCAGGTATGATAACAGCATAACTGGCAACTTAAAGATTATATTGGCGAGTCTGACATAAGAAGTAAAATACCGAAAATAATACCTTGAAAATGTCCTAGGAACAACCAACAAATAAATGATTTCGTTATTATAATAACTAATCAATGCTTTTATTGAAGCCAGAATACCATGATTTGTTATTTGAAAGGTTTTCTAATACCAATCCAATAACTCTTTTAGGTTTCAAATTAATTTTGATTTGTTTATTTTTTTCTCGCATTGCACTACTTTGCACGTTTCAAAGGAGAAAGACTAAATAGATCTCCCTGACCAACCAAGAAAGTTGTAGGTTTTCATTTCTGGCTGAAAATCACAAGTAAGTCCCACTAGCTTTGACCGAGTGCGACCTTCATCATTAAACACAAATTCAGCACTTCTCATCACAAATGGTTACATTATAAAATAATTAATCGTATCTTTAAGAACCGTTCTACACACGTAATCATAGGCACCAACTTAGGGGGGTGGGGGTTTGGATTTCTCTTGTGTATGAATGAAGATCTGTTCATTTCAAATCTGTCAAAAACGAAACAAGCTTTTAGTAATGGTTCCATTCTGATTCTATACATTTATACCAGCCAGATGAGAGTTGACTTTCTCAACATATTGATTTTATAAAAACGATACACGTGAAGCAGCTGTATTTGATTTCCAACAAAGGTAGGTGTCAATAATCCTAATTAATGTTTGTTGTTCTACCTAACAACAAAATATACAAGCACTGTTTTTGGTTACAATTTCAGCATCTGCAATGGACAAGTTTTTGATCAAAATTCGATCAAAATCAAGATCGAGCAAGTTGAAATTGACGATTGTCAGTGCTGGTGCAGAATAAAGATTATCGACGCGGGAGAAGGTCCATCGGTATACAGGTAAACAATCTGACGCAGCAAAACCTTCCAAACGGCGTTTTGTACCTAGCTGGAAAGGAACTTTCCCAAGGGGTAGATCACTCTTCACACCAATTCTGGGTAAAAATTTTTCTCAGTGTGCCTCAGCTACGTCACAGGTGTGTCGCAGGTGTGCCGCAGC